ATTTTTCGAGTAATACCACGATCGTCTCTGCCATTTGATTATTCCGGAACTCGAAAGTTTCGTAGAACGTTGGTGGACACCGTGAGGATCAGCAGCGTAGAAGCCCCGAAGAAAGGATAACAGAGAAAAGGAAGAAGAAGAAGAGGAGGATGATGAACGGACACCGAGTCGCCAAGTAGTTTTAAAAATATTTCTCTGACGTCCTGCTCAAGAGAAAGTTTCTAAGCCAGATTTATTCCAGTGTATGTAACCGATGAAAAGTTCTACAGCCATGATCTCTTGTAGTTTCTGCATGCTGATGGACATAGTCGTCACACTATGAAAAGTTGGATATCAATTTAAGGAACTGTTTCGTGTTGTAGAATCTAGAACTTAAAAGTAGAATTAGAACCTGCAACGTGTCACTTATCACACGTGATTTGTGCATAACGAATAAATAAATATACGTAATAATTGTATATAATGATAATATAATTGTGATTCAAAATTTTGTATTATAATTAATTAGTATATTTCTGAATGATTAAGGTCAATATTAATTTTGTCAAATATAATTGTATGTTTTTAGTTGTTGCAGAAAGATAGTCTTTTTGACTAGTTTTATAAAATAATTATGGTAATGACAAGGTATTTTTGGAATAAAAATATTAATCAACGAGGCAAATTTGTTATATCATTATTCAGAAGCATATTAGTTAAAGTAATAGTTATCAAATAAATGTAGAATCATGTACTTTCTAATAATTTTAAAATTTAGTTGCTCTATTGTGATTGCAATGCATGGTATTTATCAATCAAGAAATTCTAATAAATTATTTACCTTTATCAAAAATTCTATTTTCACTTGCTCTGTTTTATGGTAGAATAATATTTAATAAAATATTGTGGATATAGAAACTATCAAAGAATATTCTGCTTAGTTCCCATATATTCAATAAACTTCAGTATCTGGAAACTTAAAGACCAAGAACAAAGAAATTTAATTAACATTTTGATATTATTAATTCCATATGTAATACCCATAATCACATTGATAAGGTATAAATTACATTAAAATACTTGATTTTAGACTTTTTATTCTTACAGTTAACGAAAGTATAATTTAATAAAATTAATAGTGATATTTATTGACATACGAACATAATTCCATACGTATACCTATTTACTACACTATCATTACACCATTTTAATTATTACTAACTATGTGTACTATATTTAAACGTATAATACAAATCACAATTTTAGTATTAATTTCAAATAAATGCCAAGCTTGCAGCAAAATTTATAAACAATATAACCAACAATACCAAATAAATTTTGGACAACAGAAACCTATAGAATAAATTATTACATTTTCTATGGACTCAAATTATTATAAATATTGTTATTATTGTAATATAATTAATATTTATTGACATACGAACATAATTATATACGTATACCTATTTATTACACTATTATTACACTATTTTAATTATTACTAATTATGTATACTATATTTAAACATATAATACAGATCACAATTCTAGTATTAATTTAAAATAAATGCCAAGCTTGCAGCAAAATTTATAAACAATATAAGCAACAATACCAAATAAATTTTGAATAATATAAACCTATACAATAAACAATTACATTTTCTCATGTTAGAACTTTGATTTAAGTTTAAGTCAAGTTTACATTTTTCATTGACCCGAATTATTATAAATATTATTATTGTTGTAATATAATTTGAGTTGTTAATGACTTTTGGATCGATGCAATTATTATTAATTATTAAAATTAATGATATATAATTATTAAAATTAAAAATTTAATTTAAAAAAGAAAAAAGATCAATTTTATCCACTACTAGCTTTATTCCTCGTTAATTTTGTACATATATTCAATATCTCTCTGAACAGATGACTCAGGATCAACTTTCAAAGCTTCTTCTTACACGCATTTCGTAGAAACGAAATCAGCGCATAACTGCCATAATGCAATACTGGAATGACGAGAGGTTACTGATAGCAACGATATCTTTTGTTTGAAGGCCTTTGTGTGCTCCTCGTTGTGCTTTTCTTCTTCGTCTTCTTCTTGTCCTCCTCCTCTTTCGTCTCTTGTTAAAGGCTATTTACGAGGAATAGCGTCACAGCAAAACAATTATTTCAATTCTCTCAACTCAAGCTCTGCTGCTTGAGCTTGTTGCATTTATCGCGCATTGTATTCAATTGGAAGAACGTTGCGCGTTCCTTTTGGCAGGATTCAGAGTAATTGGAGAATTCGTCTGCGAACATTGTGCTGGTGTATGCAGTAATACAGAGCAATATCAAAATTGATTGTATGTCTGATATGTAATTGGATATTTTTTTTTTAATTTCCTAGTAATTAATTAGATTTGTTATGTGCATTGCAACAGATATTCTATGTAATTATTATTCTGTACAATTAATTAAATTTGTTATATATGTTCCAATAGATATTCTATGTAATTATTATCCTCCGTAATTAATTGAAGTTCTTATGCATTTTCCAATGTATCTCGCGAGTAATTATTATTATGCGTAATTGATTAAATTTGTTATATATTTTGCAATATACTCTATTTTGTATTCTTCAGAATTTGCAATGGTAGAATGATAAACAGTTTGAAAAACTAATAGGACATATTTTCATATTGAAAAAGATTATATTAAAATGTAATTGAATACAAAATTCTGTTTATCTAAATATCTAAATTAAATTTTTAATTAAACGAAATAAAAAGGAATTATTATTACTGGTACTGAAATAAATTTTTTTGGAACTATAGAGACATAATGAGGGCTTCTTAATATTTTTTAACTGTAATAATATTTCAATTTTCCTATTTTTATTTAAATAAGTTTTACAAAATTGAATAGCATTCCTATGAAACATTAAACTGATTTTAAGAAAATAATGTTTAAAAAATGAAAAACGTATTCTGTGAAACATTTCGAATTTATTTGATTTATTTAAATTACGTTTAAAACGTATGCGAATATAATAAAATTGTATGAAATGTAAAGTATGTAATGAAATTATTTAAATAGTCAAAAATGTTTGCATAGAAATATAAAATAATTTTCACAATTTTACCTTTGTGCGAGATAATTAATGTTTGATACGATTAATTAAATATTCGCATGTTTACTCGTGAACTTTTCTTCGCGTTTTAATTAATATTCAACGGTAATTTAATATGATAGAGTTACCAAGCTTCGTTTCATTTAAGCCAAACCAAACTATTTTACATAATACACCATAAAACAAAGTTTGGCCTTTGATATGTTTCCTTTATGGAATTGTTAACAGTACGGTTCACTGAAGTGGGTAAATATAATTTAATCACGAAATCCATTATACTGTTTCTCGACGTAAATTGAAAGCACTTTTTATGCTAATTTATGATTTAGTAATTGCAAACAATAGTTATCACGTCGACATTGAAAGTAGATTTTCTAATATACTTTAAAGCGTGGAATAAAATTAAATTTTCTTGTCATTTTTTGCAACAAATCTATTGCTTCTACTATAGAAATAAAAATCGTAAATTTCTTTAAAGAATACGAGGAATAAAACTACTATTAAAATATTGCTAAAAACATACAAAAATGGATAATAAATGATACAACAATTTGATTTACGAATAATATTAAAAATATTAAAAATTCACATTAAATATGTAATATCAAAGATCTCTAAAAATTTATAAATGAAATATATATACATACATGTCGTGCCAAGGTAAAATATTGTTCATTAAAGTCATTAGACATAATTGTTTAATGCAATTAAGAGATTGAGATGAATTGCAATTTAAATGCAAATATGAGATAAAAAGAAGCACTATCTTACCAAACAGAGAAAAAGATTTATCTATATATTTACCTATATATTTTCATATACGTTATGCATATTCAAATACAAATATCACAACGATAAAAATTACCCATAGATCTCCACTCGTTGCTTGTTCATTTTAAATTATGAATGCCATTACTGCCAACAATTTATGATGTCTGACAGGTTCGTCGAGAGGTTCAGTCTACCGACCAGTTAAATTTCCAACTCGCTTGCTTTTTTCTTTTTCCCTTCCATCCATAACTTTCGTTTAATTTGTTCCATTCAGTCAGTAGTAGTAATAATAATAATAGCGGAAACAGCAGCAGCAGCAGCAGCCTTAGTCGTAATAGCAGCAGTAATAACCGCAGTAGTAATAGCAATGGTAGTGACAGTAATAGTATTAGTAGCAGTGGCAATAGTAATAGCAATGGTAGTGACAGTAATAGTATTAGTAGCAGTGGCAATAGTAATAGCAATGGTAGTGACAGTAATAGTATTAGTAGCAGTGGCAATAGTAATAGCAATGGTAGTGACAGTAATAGTATTAGCAGCAGCAGCAGTAGTAATACTAGTAGTAGCAGCAACAGCAGTAGTAATATTGGTAGTAGCAGCAGCAGCAGCAGTAGTAATAATGGTAGTAGTAGCAGCAGCAATAGTAATAATGGCAGTAGTAATAGTAGTAGCGGCAGGAGCAAGCAGTAGTAATAGTATTAACAATAGTAGTAGTAGCAGCAGAAGTAGTAATAATGGCAGTAGTAATAGTAGTAGCAGCAGAAGTAGTAATAATGGCAGTAGTAATAGTAGTAGCCGCAGTAGTAATAGCGGCAGTAGTAGTAGTAGCAGCAACAGTGGTAATAATGGCAGTAGTAATAGTAGCAACAGCAGGAGCAAGCAGTAATAATAGTAGTAGTAGCAGCAGCAGCAGTAGTAATAATGGCAGTAGTAATAGTAGTAGTAGCAGCAATAGTAGTAACAATAATAGTAGTAACAATAGTAGTAGTAGCAGCAGCAGCAGTAATAATGGCAGTAGTAATAGTAGTAGCAGCAGGAGCAAGCAGTAGTAATAGTAGTAGTAGCAGCAGGAGCAAGCAGTAGTAATAGTAGTAGTAATAGTAGTAACAATAGTAGTAGTAGCAGCAGAAGTAGTAATAATGGCAGTAGTAATAGTAGTAGCCGCAGTAGTAATAGCGGCAGTAGTAGTAGTAGCAGCAACAGTGGTAATAATGGCAGTAGTAATAGTAGTAACAGCAGAAGCAAGCAGTAGTAATAGTAGTAGTAGCAGCAGCAGTAGTAATAATGGCAGTAGTAATAGTAGTAGCAGCAGTAGTAATAATGGCAGTAGTAATAGTAGTAGTAGCAGCAATAGTAGTAACAATAGTAGTAGTAGCAGCAGCAGCAGTAATAATGGCAGTAGTACTAGTAGTAACAGCAGAAGCAAGCAGTAGTAATAGTAGTAGTAGCAGCAATGGTAGTAACAATAGTAGTAGTAGAAACAGCAGTAGTAGTAACAATAGTAGTAGCAGCATCGGTATTAGTAACAATAGTAGTAGTAGCAACAGCAGCAGTAGTAACAACAGTCGTACCAGCAGCAGAAGCAGTAATAGTATTATAGCAACAATAGTAACAATAATAGTAGTAATAATAACAGCAGCAGTAGTAGTAGCAGCAGCAATAACAGTATAAATAATACTAGTAGGTGTAGTAATAGTAATGGTATTAATAATTAGTACTGTAGAAAGCTCAAGAGATCACGCAAGATACAGGAGCAAGCAAGATATTCTGATCATTCTTCCACTTGACTCCATCTACAGGTCCCCTTGAATCTATCCTCTAACATAATAATCAAATAAGTTACGTCACCTAATTCCTCTTCTTAATTCACATAAAGCACTAACGCATATAAAGAATCGGTGTCAAAAATAATTCTAATCAACTATAAATCTCGATGTATCTTATTATCATTCTCTATTCACCACTCTCATTCTACCCTGCAATTTAATTCCATCTGTTCGCTCTGCTCGCAGTCTCCCGCGTGTTTCGTAATTATTTCACGTGGTCCCGGCAGCAGCTTCAATTAATTGCGAGCCGAAACGAAAGGAGCGTGGCGCGGTGCTTTAATAATGCGACATTGTGCCTCTGCGTCCCTCCCGGTGGCCATTTGCTTTCTGCAGCCGTTGCCATCGCTCTTCTTCTCTCCGCGCCGGTATTACACGCACATGCATACGTATTTCTCTGACGGACATCAGAGACGAACTTTCGAGCACCCCCCGCCACAGAGGCAAATGGAGTTAACGACCGCTGAAAAATAGACGGCGGAACAGTGGAACGAAATTTCCCTGTAACGAGACAACGAGTTGCTTTCCAATGAAATCCCCGTCTGTCCATTGACGACCAATCGTCGCTTTGATATTATAATACGAGCCGCGGGAACGCTTTCGAACGCTCGAATCGCGTAAAGCGTAATTTTCGTGGATCGGGAACGCGTTCGAATGGTGTTTGAAGTACCGTGGGAGGGGGGATTAGGGGGACCGGGCTTTGAAAAATTCGATGATTTTCCTCCAATCAAGGGGAAAATGAAGGGATTACGGGATGGGATAAATTGCACTTTTAGCTGGTCCCTATCGCGCAGGATTTTGTTTCGCTCTGTACGTTTTCATTGGAAATTTTTACCAATTTCAGCTCGAAACGAATTTTCTGGGTATTTGTATGTAGGACTTGCGAATTCGTTTCATTGTCAGCTACGATATCAAATTAACGAAAATATACGGTTTATTTTAAATGACCTTGAAAAAAATGTCCTACTGTTATATTTGTCTTGTAAAACTGTGCAACTTTTGCCTTACTCGTTCTCTTCTATTATCACAAATAGCAGAGATATTACGTGTGCTGAAAATAAAAGGACATCCTGTACATATATGCAAACACGTAACTGTCGTCTCGATTTTTCAAGTACTTTTAACAGACTGACGAAAAAATGTTTGTAATAGAAGTTAATCGGTATTTAGTCAGCTATATGACGAAATATTAAAAATTCCAAAAACTATTTTTTTTTTACAAAAAATCAAGGTCACCTTGACTTTCTTAAATGACACCCTGTATTTTTGACTTGGTATAGTTATTGCTCGTGAAAATACAAGTTCAATGGCCTACTATGGTATGACTTTCAGATGACCATGAGTTCAGAAATTTAGGTTTGATCAACAAAAGTATATGTATTAAATTTAATATACAATATTTATATATACAGTGTGTCTCAACATAATTATATCATCTGAATACCTACCTCATTTCTTGCTGTACGAAAACATTTTCTAGAGCAAAATTACTAATTATTGATTACCAATAACATTTAATAAACGTGAAACCTAAAATTAAATTCATACTTATAGTATAATATATTATTATAATATAAATTATTATCTGCTACAACCACCAAAAATACTTATCTTATTCTACTATCTTTATGGATAATATTAATTATGGTCCTGTAATGGGTTCCTAAGTATAATAATTAAAATGGTACAATGAAAATAATTTCATTTTTGTCTCAATAATCCTTATTGCCAGTGTCTCTTGATTTATATACACTCATCGTCACCTAGTCACCACTTGGGTAAACCTTAGCAAGGACCAATATATCACCCATAAGACTATAGCCATAAGGACCCAAATTATTTAAACATCCACCACCACAGAAAGACGTTGAAGCTATCACACACTCCCAATATTATTCATGCTGCGGCCTTAGGACCGCAATGTCCCAGGTCAAGTGGGGGACTGTTTATATCCCTATTGCCAGCGTCCCTTGACGTGTACACACTCTTCACCACCTAGTCACCACTGGGGTAAACCGTAACAAGGACCAATATATCATCTTTAAGATAGGCACAAGAATCCAAATTATTTAAACTTCCACCACCACAGCAGGACGTCGAAATTAGCACACACCCCCAATATTATTCACAACCAATAGAATGACACACATCCACCTCTTACATTTGCACTGATCAATCAGTAAACTAGACGAAATCACTGACAAATCCCAAGGAGACCAGACAATCATCACGACCACACTATCATCCAAGACCCACCATCAACTCAACGCAGGAAACAGTCTACTATAGGACTCTCTGTAGTTAACCCTAACCAGGTCTAGCTCTATTAATTTAGAGTAGGCCGCGTCCCAGCAACATTGTCGCATCTGCGTAAACGAGCCTTACAATCCTGCGAAACTCCCACCGTGTGAATTGCACTGTTCAGGACACAATAAGATCTATTGCACGTGAGTACTGTACACCGTATCCACGAAAGCCTACCATGTTCACAATATGACATATATTTAGTTCCAAGAATTGCCAACACGCTGAATTGAATATAAGAATATATTTCAACACTAATCACGCGATATTAAATTGGCACGTGATGCGTTCTTGACAATTGAAGAAATTCAATTCATTGGACGCAACTGTAGCGTCCTATTTATCGAATCCCTTCGATGTCCTAGAACGTTTATCACGCGCCAAATTAATATCGCGTAACTAGTTGTAATAATAAGGATCCCGAAGTGCGCGTTGATAAAAGAGAGCGTTTATTTATAGAAAGTATAGAATAGTTATAATGGAGACGTTGAACGGAGTACCGTTTCGAACACGCGTTTATACGTGTAAGTAAGATGTTTCAAGGATCGGTGTCGAAGACGAACCGATTTCTCGAATTTGATCTATGTCGTGTCTCGTCGTGTCCTGTCCGGTGTTTTCTCCAGTTTAGTTCCGATTGGGCAAAATAAACGTTGGTGGTGGAAAAGTAAGGAGTTTTAATTGGACAGAGGGTGTGACGGAAGGACCTTTGGCTAAGGAGTAGGAAACTGTCAAGGAGCCGATTTTTGATGGTCAATGACGCGATTTATAAGCGGTGTCCGTCCGTCGCTCGTTGGGTCTGTCACACGTGGTCCCATCTGTCGAGTCTGGTACTTGTAAAAATTCCTAAACTTTCGCCTTTACCTTTGCAACTTAATCCGCTGGAACAGCGGTGAGGCACATCTATCCTCCGGAATTGCAATCGCGATATAAAGTATATTGTAAACCGTTGGATCTGTTAAAAGTGTAAGCCTTAGAATAAAAATCATGTTATAAACACGCTGTCCGGGACGGAACAGCAACATAAAATATTCCACTCGCTTATAGACTTACCTCTATGTACCACCTAGATGTACAGCAGAGAGAAAATAGAAGCGCATGAGATCGGAAACTCGTTCTCATTTACAATCATTAAAAGTGAACCAATTATCCAGAACGAAAGAGCTGACTGAGGCACTATTTCCTCGAAAGTAATCAGCGAAATGCTTCGTTATCTGCGCTTTGCGAATTCATTGGCGCGAGGGAAACACTTGCAACGAAGGTTAGGAACGGAACGTTGGATTAAAGAACGCGACAGGAGGAAACAGGGGACGAAAGCGAGAGCCGCTGATGCGACGAGGACGGGAGAGCTCTAAACGTTAGGCAGGATTTCGATGGATTTAAAGTGTCTGACACGTGAGTGGGACTTAACAGTGCTAGCCTTGCGATTCAGCCGCTCATCACGCGACACCAAGTGAGGTTTTGCGATTAACCTGCTCATACTGCAGCAGGCTACTCTTCGAGTTCACGGACTTCTCCCGTCCACTGTGCGGATTCTGGAATTTCCCGAAATTTGCATCAAGCAGATCTGAAGTTTGTCCAACAACACCACGTTTCCTCGGGGCTTTGTTCGTTACGTTACAAGGCAAAGTGTTTCGTGGCAAATTAGGTTAACTCAGCAGTTGCTAATTATGAACAAGCATCCCCTTATTTTCTTACATATTGCATATCATGGCCACGGATTTAAGTAGCCTGGCTTTATCATGGTAGGGGATAATATGGAACAAGTTGTAGGAGGAAGTGGTAGGGGAAAATGTGGAATAAGTTATAAAATTATTTAATAACGGAAGCACAATGGTGTTAACCCTTTGGTCTCTAGAGGCGACCCTAAGTCATCATTTAATAATTCCAAAGATAGGTGTTAGTTAATATACAGTGATTCACGAAAATATTCGGACACTTGGCATAAATAACATTATATAACCCTAATTTATTTATATAAACACATTTTTTAATATTTTGTCGCATAGCCTCTTTGTTCCAATACGTGCCTCAATCTGTTGGGCATATTAAAAAATGATTTTTTCCAAATAATTCGTACCGATAGCAGCCTACTCTTCCAGCAACCTTTGTTTCAATTCCTCTTTTGAGTTAATTGCTGTCTTTCGCATTCCGCGATCTAACTTATCCATAAATTTTCAATGGGATTGGGATCCGGCGATTGTGGTGGAGGATGAAGAACTTTCGTGCAACGATGAAGCAAGAATTCTTGAACAACGCGTGCTTTATGTTTAGGGTCGTTATCCTGATAAAACTTAAAATTGTTGCGAATTCCCATTTTCTCTGCGCTATTTAATAAATTATTTTTCAGTAAGTGTAAGTGACAGTTTTTGTCCACGATGGTGTCAATAAAAACTAAACTGCCAATTCCTCTGATCGAAATACAGCCCAAACCATCACGCTGCCTCCGCCATGTTTCACGATACCCTCGTGTTTCGATGGTGGAACTCTTCGTTCGCTTTCCGCCACGCCATTCTTTTTCCATCCGAATTATGGATGTTAATGGAA